ATATATATTTTATGGGGGCAATGTTTGAAAGTCATCAAGAAAAGGTATTGCATGCAGTTTGTAGTTTCCCTTATAATACAGCAGCTGTGTCTAGTTGCACTTTGTTAAAATAAAACTGTCATGTTGGAATGATGTACTGGTTGTTGTTTTTTTCCATCAACCCAGAGCAGAAAGACAACAACACTGCATACTTGAATATGTGTTCATTTCATATCATCATCACAATATTAAGCACAGTTTACGCACATCGCAGGTTTACCTGATATTTTGCAGCCCTAGAGTAAAATCAAGCTGTTTTTGTGAATAGTGCAKAGGAAAACAAGGTGCAATAAAAACACAACAGAAGCAATAATATGCAAACAGCAAATGTGTTTTTGGCTGAAGAGAGACAGGCGTTTATTTAACAGCCTATTTAGTAWATCATATAAATCTGCCCTATCGTCATCTCTGCAACAGCATCCAATGATGTAGTCCCACACAGCAGCAGCCAGAGTTTRCAGCAACATTTGCATGCTCTCTTTAAGCCAATCATGACATCTTAGAATATTCTGAGTCATAATAAACTATTAACAGATTTATATGAAACTAGAAACTGACCCCGACTCTGCCCACACAGGAAAACATGTCAAACTCGTCCCAGTTTGATTTTGCAATCTGAGAAACAGCAGTCAAAAACTGGCAGCACAAATAAATTCACCTCAATGAACAACAGCGACGGAGGTAAAAAAAAAACTATTTCTTCAGACATAAACAAATATTATGACAACTCCTTCAGAACAAAGTAGAGAAAATTAGAGAAATTAAATCAGATTTATTTGTAAAGAGACTAGAGACTGACAATTGAGGAAACTCTTTACAAACCTGACAGGTCCGCTGATTCCAGCTCCCAACTTTTGTGTCCAGTTTATGCTATATTCATCCAGAATTGATGTCTCCTGTTTAGAAGACAAACCAGGACAAATAACTTGTAAGATGTACACAAAAAAGACGGACGATTGCGAACTACAAGGATCAATGCCAAACTCAGAAACACCCTTTAAAAAAAATCGCCCGAAACAGCATTTTCCTGCCACTTTTTTTAAACATTTGTAGGGTTTATTTACAGAAGGGTTAGGGTTATGTGTGACATTTTCAATGGGGTCACTTGGCATTTTCCCCTCCGCTGTATTAGCACTCACGTATATCTTAGTTAAACATCCATTATCTGTCATCTGGTTTCACAACAGTCAGTGAAATTGTTTRTAGACAAAGACAAATCAGCTGCCACACAACATGAGCGTCTGGGAGAGATTAGACACTATTGTCAATACAGAGGACTGGTATGCTATGTTGAAGAACTGAGGACTTAATGCAACCAAATGAGTTGAAACTTACATTTTTTTTGCTTATAAATAAAAGTAGGGCAAACAAGAAAACCTACTGCCTACTTTTGTATAAATGTAAATGAAAAARGCAAGACAAAATAAGTGGCAATTAAATATAGTAAAGCGAGACTTATTTAGACAAAAACCACCCAGTTGGTTTTCAGTCAGATCTAGCCTTCTCTGATAATATTTAACTGGGAGGCATTTATTTGATTATCACAGTAGTTTGCAAATTTCTTAATACCAGAAAGCCTACATTAGGTTAAGCGTTAGTCAGTTGACTCATTAMACTTAATTCATATTAAACGCTTCAGCTCCTGCCTAAAATACACTCCAGTTCTCGACTATTTCTTCCCTCCCAGCTGGATAGCAGAAGCTCTGAAGGTCAAGTGTTCCTGCAGACTCACAGATGYTTAAGCAGGAACCCAAGAATGAATCTTAAGAGCCAGGTAGCACGTTCCTGTTTAGATCCCAGTGTCCAGAATAATGTTAATTGCGTGTTTAACTTCCTGCCATATGAACAAATGATGATAAATTTGTTGGTAACACGATCATGTATGTTTTGGTGAATTCCTGTCTGGCTTTGTGTGTTTTCTGTCCCCCCSCTGGGTCTTCTTCCATGAAGGACGTTATGATTCAAAACATGATGGATGATACAATCAGAAAGTTCAGCTTGAATGCCTTTAGATGGTCTGSGTATTTTTCTACCATCCACACTATCAGTCTGATCAACCTGGGGTTTCACTTCCTCTTGTGTCCATGTCCTGGGTGGTTGGCTACAGTCCCATGAACCTTATACTTTTGAATAATATTACCAACTGTGGTCAGAGGAACATAAAGCTGCTTGGAGATGGTCTTGTAGCCTTTACCTTTAACATGGATATCTATCATCTTCTTCCTGAGCTCCATATATTGTGGTGAACTCTATAAWAAACTACTCAGTGGCTGTTTGCACTTTTAAATAGGCTGAATGTGATGAAAAGCTTGGAGCTATAGTGATTCTAATGAAAGCCAACACTTATTTCACAATCAGTTTAAATGGCATGCAAGTTGTCACAAGTCATTTTAGAATAATGTTGACATMAATCACAAATGAATGAAATTAGCAACAATAAATATATTTATGTTGTTCTTACCTTGATGAACTTGTCACTGTTGTCCTCTGACATGATGATGGTGTCTCTGCTCCGGACAGATCAAGTCTGTTGCCAGTGTCAGAAAGTAGAAACAAAGAGTTTACTCTGACCTTAACAAAAGGTTAGGTCTCTCTGGGCCGGACCAAGGTTTGTTATATCACTACTGATGACAAAATAAGGCCATTACTGCTAAATGATATTCGGCCACCAATCAGCCAAAGCCGAGCGTGGTCCGCCCGGAGACCCGAAGCCCAGCAGCCGGTACGATGTAACGACAGTTCGGGCCAGCTCGGCTCACAACCTCGGGGTCCGACTCGCTCTTCCACTCGTCTCAAATTCACTGTAGTGACCATGTAGAGCGTCAAACTCTGGGGCAACCGCACCAAAAATAAACAAAGCAAAAACCAAGTCAAACGTGAACTAGCCCACCGCCACTTTTCAGTAGCGCAGCAGTGAGCATGGGAGCCAGAAGTGATATTTTTAGCCAGCAAAACGCTTCAAAAACGCAGAAAACTGACTCAGTTACTGTTAGCTAGCCGGGCTAACAGGGTGCCTATAGTTGTCACAGTTTGAACAGCTGGTTACCAATAAAAAAGCAGTCGTGGGAGATAAATCTGTCCGAAGATGGGATCCCTAAAATCACTAACCTCAATGTGGGAGCTGAGCTGATCTAATAGAGCGAGCACACCGCGTTCCCAGCGGCTTATGTCGTCGAGCTAAACGCAGTACCGTACTGCGGTCTCAAGTTAGTTTTCTACCTCCGCTTAAACCCACGGACATTACCAGATTATTTGTAGGGCAGTACAGTTACTCGCAAAGCCCATGCAGTAAAATAACAATATATAAATGTCGGTGTGGTTAACGCAAAATGTTTTTATTGGTGTTTGGAAAAGCACCCGCATCTCTGAAATGTTTTGCTACTCGTCAGAGCAGGAATATCATCGGCACAGCGAGATAGCAGTTCATGCAGAACGCCTGATGAAAATAAATATAATAAGTTATTTTTGTAAACTATATCAATCCGCAAATACGCATTATTTGTCTGTAAAATGCTTATCCCGTATCTTATAAAACATTTTCGTTTTGTTTTTTTAAAAACTGCGTTGCTGTATTTTTTCCACCAAATTACATTTTAAGCGGACAGTCGCAGGGTCCTGTATTAAGACCCAGGAGTGATTCAAGTTTCAACAATTCAGGTGTTAGTTTAGTCTGCTCTAATGAATGTAATATTCTATTCTATTCTATTCTATTCTATTCTATTCTATTCTATTCTATTCTATTCTATTCTACAGTGGCTATGCAAAATGCAACTCAGAAACAGAAACACATAAAATATGTAGTGAGGTAAAATAAATCCAAATATTTTGCTGCATTTTTAATTTGCCAAATATTGTTTAGATATGTCTTTCTATCAGTGCACAAAAAAGGTCACAATTAAAAAATGCTGGTGTTCTGTCCTTGTTAAAAATCAAATGTAGTACACTGACTTAAATTTACAAAATATTTTTTATACATTCTCATTTTATAATGAATTTTAAAATTAGTTGTTCTAGATTCCTACTTGTAAACAGTAGTGTTTCATCTCTTAACATCCAATATAAAGGTACACATTTATTTCTAAAGTGGCATGTTAGTGCCCCCTACAGTTCACAAAAAATAGTACATAATGTACAGATTTGAATTACTGTTTTATTCCATGTGCACATTTTAAAAGTTGATTCTACGATAAATACAGATAATAATAATTAAAAACACTTTGACTTTATTGTTAATACTGATTTTTTTATATTTACCCGACATTAAATTCACATCAAACACTGTCCTACACAAACTAAAAAAAAAAAAAAAAAAAATCAGATGTCCAAAATATTAAAATAATTTAGTTCATCTTACTACATAATCGATGCATTAGTTACTACATTATTGTTATATTTATCATATTATAAAACCTCGAGTATATGACATAACAATTTTCCATATTATTCTGATACGTATTATCATATACGTATTATTGTGAAATTATTACAAAATAAACCTACAAAATGATGAACTTCAAAATGAAATCAACTTAAACTTGTGTGAAAGTTGCATTGTTAGTTTTAAAATTTGAGCGTACATATTTTTAATGTTTTTAAACGCAGTTATTGAAATATGTATCAGTCATTTTTTATGGGTGATCATATGGAAAAGATATAAATGATGTATAATGATGAGCTTGTTGATTGTAGAAATGTCTGCGTTTCATCATGGCTGTGTGTATTTTGTATGTTCGCACTGTGTGTTGTTCGCCGGCTCACGTGGATGCCACTACACTGCATTGCCATGATCCATGGACTTCCTGAAAATAGTTCCGAGTTGCAGGTGGAAATCTTCCCACGAACAAGTATTTGTATCTCTGTACATACCTTAAAAAATAAACATGTGCGTGTTTTTTCTCTCTTAGGTAAACCGAAACATGACAATGAATTCAGCGTATGCACATTGCGTTGAATAGTAAGAATCGTTGCGCCTTCCATATATCCCTCCGCCGCTTTTTGTCCCGTTTCAGACTGTTTTGGTCTTTTTGCTGTTAGCAACGGAGAGAACCCGAGCTAGCTGTAAACCCTATTTTGAGATAATCGATTTTCTTTTTTTTACGTTTACATAACAAATTGACAATAGGTTTAAGGCACGTGTTTATTTGGGATTAATTACCACAGAGTGTTGTCATTTTTTAATATCGATTTCCCGGTTTTAATTAGAATTGTACAGATTGCTAATTTAGCTAACTAGCCAGCCGCTTAGCATCAGCATCCTTCTTTAAAAAGGCACGTTGACATTAGCCAGTTAGCAAGACCACACACACGCCGCGTCGTTGTCAAGAAGTCCGTTTGTGGTCATTTTAACTCGCTGTCTTTTATGGGATCACCATGTCAATGAAGGCCGGAGGAAATCGAAGCAAGCCCGGCGGTGGCAACACGACTGGTGCGGCCGCCTCTGGAGCCGGAGGAAGCGGTGGGGGAAGACAGAATCTGGGCAGGTCGGTACATTTAAACAAATAAAATAAAGTAAAACGGATAAGACAGAAGTGGAGTTGCAACTATTCGGTACTGTAACACGTTTAAATCCAACAGGGGCAGTTTGGAGAGATGACATTTATGTGAAGTTGCCCAAATGATTTGAGAACGTTATGCGGGCCTGGTGGTAGTACCATCTACGCTGAAACGTTATGTGAGGCCTGTTCGCTCGGTCCATTGCTGTTGTAACATTTTACCCGGTGAACATTAAATACAAATTTATTGAAACATTCCCCAGTGTGACTATTGGATCACACAATCACGTCTAAGTAAACACAATTTGACATGTTTTGCATCGACGTCTCGTCAAAGCAGTTTAGTTTACTCTCAGATTGAAGTCAATTTGAGTTAATTAGCCGTCTGACAGCCCGTGGTGTTTGTAATTCAGTGCAGATCGTCACGGTTGCCTGAAGAGGGACGAGCCTGGCGTGTTATCTAAACAGCTGTTAATGTAACCGACGTGCAAGTTACCGCAACGTTGCTGCAACGGGATCGCCTGGAAGAAATTGMTATAAAGGCGAGTAGTGGAGAATGAGGAGGGCGTGGAGACCAGGGCGAGGAAGAAGAGGAGGAGGAGGAGGAGGAGGGCGATTATTAAACTGACTGGCTTTTAATCATGACGCCGCTTCTCGTGAAAAATTGTTGTCCTTGAATCATGACTTTCTGGACATGTCCTAAGATGACTCTAACACTGCCAGCTAAAAGGGGAGGAAATAATGCATTTTGTTTTTTTTTCTTCTTGTTCTCTGGTCACTAGGACACTACGTCCCATTCATTGCGCTGGTTTTACTGCAAATGTAAGATTGAACCAACGGGAATCAATCCGTCTTACTAAAGCAGAACATTTGATTTTAAAATAAAACTGTTTTATTGGTTGAAAAGAAAACCTATTAAAGATGCCAGCTGCTGCATATCGTGTATTTTAAAACAACGTTGCAAAAATGTTGATCAAGTCTATATAAAACCATAGTAGATGCCAAACTGTGATTTTTCAGTGTTTTTTCATTTGATTTTTATGCCTCGAACACAATATCTACATCTCGGGTTAATGAAACTCAGACTTATAAGGGTTTTTGTATAAATTGTGTTAGAAAACAGAAATTCCTCACCTTTTTATTTACAACTAAATTTAACTATCAGTTATGGAAATTAAATGGTTGGGAATATCTTGACGAAACTCATTTGCAAATTATTTTAGCACCAAATTTTGCCTTAACATTCCCCGCCACTTAATTTCCTCTCCCATAATAACACTTTTTGACTCTTGTCCTTGCAGCTTTTAGTTGCTGTTTCTTTTCAGACAAAGAGAGAAGAACGTTACCTTTTTACGCTTTCGACCTGGCGTCTCTGATTCCATTGTTCTCCCTCTGACTCCGTTTACATCTGGAGATTATTTTACAGACACCATATCTTTTCTCAGCCGAGACTGTTTGAAGTGTACTCGTCAATGTTTGAACGTAAACGGAGAACACGTAATTGTTGGCAACAAAACAGGACTGCTGATTTCACTCGTTTATTACAAATTATGCTGTACAGTTTTGGTTGTAAAGGATGTGTTTTTAGTGGTTATCTTTATCATAGATGATTTATGCAATAAAATTCAAATCAGAGAGATTGAAAAATTATGGATTTCGACAGCTTTTATGGCTTCATGGTACCGTTTCACTGGACTGTGACTAGTTGATGACTCGATATTAAGACAAAACATTCAAATTTTGTGTTGCAGACTAGTAAAAGTTTGAGGATTTGCGACCAGTTTTTGAAAATTATGTGCGCACGGCTTGTAAAACTATTCTAAGCCTTGCCCATTATTTCTTTGTCCACATTCTGCCCATCTCGGTCAGATTTATACCCACTTTGCCAAAATCTTTTCAACAATTTTCAAACAAAGAGACTGGACGCCTCTGTGACTCAAGCAAAGATGTTGAGAACTCATCTCTGAAGGTTCAGACCAGTGAGAGTCTACCTTTACATAAAGAGAAACTGTTGGTTTGAAGAACAGAGAAGACAGCACATTAAAGTGGTCGACATCATCCAGCAAAGATCGAGCTTTTTATTAGCCGCTTTAAATGATAAATTGAAAGGCGTCTTTGCACAGGCATCCATTACCCAGATATTTGTTGGTTACACCAGACATCTCTAGTGACAATTGCTCCATAAGGAAACATCGTCCCACAAAAGCTAATGGTTTCACATATTGGAGTTTAAATATRTTCGGTAGATTGACAGTAAGGTTGGGCGATATTTGCCAAAAACAATTAATCACGATTAATATGATGATTAATCCCCGGGGGTCTCTGGACACCCTCATATCCTAGTCACATGACCAATTTAAATCACTCTAGTGGGAAAGAAATGCTCTCTGTAAAAAATCTTTTCCAAATTGTGTCAAAAGTCTATACATCTATTTTTCAACTGTATCGATAAACCAAGTAAAACCAGAGTTATGATTAATAAATTACAGAACTTTGGTTTTAAATGTTCGTCATATTTGAAGAGGAGAGGAGCACAAAGCGGACTGACGGTATTAATCTTATTAATCGTCAAGTGCCAAAAAAAATAATCGATTAAAGTTTTTCTGATGATTAATTGCACACAATACGATTTTGCCCAACAGTAATTGAGAGGAAAATTATCCTCCCTTTTTAACACTTACACCTGTGGTTTGGTATTCCCTGAATGATCTACTCTATCTTTTGTTTAGATCTTTTATTGCAGCACTGTATGAGCTCTACAGTGTGCCTGGGAGAACTTTATTTTCATGGTAGAGTTTGACTCAGATTTGTTTTCCTTCCAGGGGAAGACACAGTGGTAAAGGATCTACAGCAGTAAGTAACCTCCTAACGCTCATAAGTTAGTTTGAAAAGCTTTTGTGCCCTATTGGTTTTTACCATCAGAAATTGTTCATGTGTTAAATTTAAGTATCATAACAAATTAGCATTTTGAAAGCCTTCTGGTCATTCTGTGCCAGTGTCATTTGTAATAGAGGAAGCTCAGTTCCAGTACTTCGATATGATTCTCATATTTGTTGTCGTCGTGAAAGGACCAGATGTCTAATAGGCACACAGCTGTGAGTTTTATTCAGCACCATCTTTTATTATAGAGAGCATCATCATTGTTTTTCATTCTCTTTAGGTAATTTTCAGTGGTGTATATGCAAATATGAGGATGGTCCATGTTTTAACATCAGTGGTGGTACGTTTCCTTTGTGTCCTAAAGTTCCAATATGTTTGTCTAGTATGCAATGAAATGTATTAACAGAGAGTTGCAAAATCCTTTTGTTAAAACGTTGCTTACTTACTGTAAATTGACTGCGCAATGATAACAATACTGCAGTTTGTCATTCACCACATGCTGTGTCTTCAAAATATCTACACTGCAGTAAAGCACACTTGTTAGCAGGGACAGCTGGTGGTATAAACCTACAGAAGATTGATCAGTCATTTATCTACGTCATAGCAGATGGGGGTTCTCTGAACTTATTTTCAGAACGTGTTCATTTACTTTGGCACTTTGTTGAATGAGTAAGTGTGGCATGCAGCAAATAACCGCCAGCTTGTTTGTTCACAGGGGACCAAGTGTGAGCTGAAAGTGAAAAATGGAGCAATATATGAAGGAGTATTTAAGACATATGGCCCAGAGGTAAGGAAATGCATATGATATGTATTTTTTAAAATATTTTTAAACACGCAGCACAGATAATTTAAGCCGAACTGTGACAGCATCCTGCCAGTGCTCAAGAGCAAGCTTCACCCCGCGGTGGTTCAGACAAGGATCAGCTGTTTCATCTTCCCTTTTATAGCAGGGAGGGATGTGACCCGTCATCTTCCCTTTTTTAGGAAGTCAGATTTCCAATTTTGTCTACTGTGGGGAAATAAATTTATCCAAATAAACGGCCTAATCTCAGTGATGAAAGAGCTTCTCTTCAGATGTTTTGGTAGGGCTCGGGTTTAACTGGGATTCTCGTGAAACCAAATACTTTGTGCTTTGTCACCATTTTATATGTTTGCATCTGATATCTTTTTAAAAGGTTTAAGGTCCGAAAAGTAAATTAGGCTTGCAGGGTACTAAGAGAAAATTCAGTTTGGTGGCCAGCTCTGAGAACAAAACCAAACATCATCTTTGGGTTTTGTTTTGGCAGAGTTCAGCGCGGTCAGAAAGGCTAAAATATTTACACGTTGCTGTGTTTCACTGCATCTCCAAACCCCGTCTCTAAGTCAACACTGTGCTGTTTGGCTGCGGAGCTGTTGCTTTCAGTTTACTAAGAAAATATTAAACAAATCATGAGGAAGCTTGGTGAAATTTGAGCTCCTTTCAGCTAAAAAAAAAAGGATAAAAAGAGACACTGAATGGTCTCATTTTTCCATGTTCATAGTTTCTCAGTTTTTCTGTWTGGAGTCAAGGCTCATGTTATATGTCACGTTTCCCTTTAAGCTATTTGACTGTGACTGTGTTCCTCAGTGTGACCTGGTGTTGGATGCAGCTCACAGAAAGAGCTCCGAGCTGAGTATAGGCCCCAGGAAAGAAGATATTGCAGAGAGCATCATCTTTAAAGCCTCTGATGTCGTATTGGTGACCTTCAAAGATGTGGACCTGAATTTTGCTAGAAAAGGTACTTTAAAACCTATTTTACCTAAATACTTAAACTTAGCATTGCAACATCTTTTTTTTGTATACATCACACGTTAACAAAACCCTTCATCTCTAGTGAATGCCCTTCACTGCATACGTGTATTTTATCGATTGTTTTGTGTCTTCAGTGCCCTGATGTGGCAGAGGTTTGGCCATGAGCTAAATCTTGTGTGTCTGCTCTGAGTGTCCAGTCATTTAAGACTAATTTGATCTATTGATTGGCCTGAAAGTTTCCCAAGTGCTGCAAGGACACTTAATAAAGTGTTTTATATAASTCATCTCGACCTCACATCTCTTAAGAACAGAGACGCATTTTGTGGAAGATTTTTTTTTAACAGAGTGTTCAGATGAAGATGTTTGTTACATAATGCTGCATCAGTGCCACTTGTAAAATCAGATTATTAAGACACTTTTATAGTGAATCAGGATTTCAGAGTRGTTTGAAGAAACAGTGTAAAATGCTTATAAAAGCAGACACTAAAATCTGAAAAGTAGAGACAATTTTCCATTACAGTTTCCACCTACAAGTAGTTTGTTGGTCAGATTATCAACTGTTAGTATGTTCGTTCCATCGTTCTCTCAGTTCGTCTTCTGACTTTGTCATCTGTGTGTCTCTTCTTTCCAACGGTCTAGTCTCCTCTGACTCAGGTAACTTGATGTTTTTATCCTTCCTGACACATCTGTACACACTCAGAAATACACACTTTGATTACTTTGTAGAAATGTTTAAGGCTTTTTTTTGTCACCAGTTATTGCTGCTTCTTAATGCCGACCTCATGAGAAAATTTGAGCATCTCGGTGCTTGCTGTGATCAAAGACAAAACGAATCAGACATTTGATGGAAATCGATCTTGCTTCTGTCTTATCAGATTTCTGTCAACCTTAAAATAAATGTTGCTTTCGATGGAAGAATTTCTTCATGTTTAAGGTTSAGTTTTGGGCTTGAATAGAACGACATAATATAAAATATTTGTTTCTGTAAATGCTCTGCTTTTAGTTAAAACTAATTTTTCTTTTCTTTTACTAAGACTATAAGCAAATATTTAAACTTTACTCAATTCTAGCTGWAAATTTGATCTTTATATTTCATTTTCACGTGTTTAAGAAGTATCTCTTTATTTCAAATTTGACTAGTTCAGAACTCGGACCAAAAACTAGTTGGATGGAAATGATTGGTGTGTGATTCCATTGAAAGCAACAGTTCTAAACTTTATTCTCAGCTCCCTCTTTTGATTTTGAACCTTTTTTTCTTTAAAAAAAAATGGAGTCTTGCCTGGATGCTTGATTTGTCATGGCCCTAAAGTTGTTTTTTTTTTTTTTAGACTGCAAGTCCAAATGCATGTCTGCTTTACCCCACACTTAACCCATTTTTGACTTGCAAATTACCCACGTGTTCTGCACAATTCCCTTCAACAGTAAAGCATGYCAGCAACCTCCTAAAATATAAATAAGGCTTGACGTTTCGGTGTGTGTGTGTGGTGCCAACTTTGTGTTTCTGAACTTTTGTCAGAAGTTTTTTTTTTTAAATACACTTTGAACCGAATGAGTTTGGATGCACGGGTTTGAAAACTCCAAGCTGCTGGTATGCTTTATGCACACAGTCTGTCGGGGCCACAGCCGAGAATATAAAGGCAAACATGAGCGGCTGGGCTGACACCAGATTAGCTTTCCTTTCAAATATAAATTAAAGTCGTATTTGAGCATGCTTGCCGTGGATAATTTTGTTGAGCATTTTGAACACTTAAAACAATGAGCACCCTGAAAGAATGGATTACCAGCATCACGTTGATTTTTAAACACACTAATATTGCTCCTCTGGTTGTTGCCATGGTGATGCTGTATAAATTAGGGGATGATAAAGTCAGGCAGAAATACCACGTTACCTTAAAGTGAGTTCAAGCCAAAGCTCAAATTTTTGTAAAAAGTGAGATTAATGTCTGGATCTGTGTATAAACTGTGATCCTATCACCCTGTGATTGTGTACAGTCACAAGTAAGGATGGAAAAAATATTTCTTTTTTTTTAAGCACCACAAAAAATGAACGAACCGCTGCCAAGTTAGTTTGATTAAGAAGATAAAGAACCTGGATCAGATGTTTCTGCTTCCATCGTCAGGACTTCATGGCTTACTGAGCTCACGAAAGAGCAAAATGTTACCCAGCTGTAGAAGGATCAGTTGAAGGTTTTAAAATATATAGTCAAAACACACATACCTGTTATATATGACTCATCACATCGAAACGAGGATTAAGTCCAAAAGTGGAATGTGGAGAAACAGGCAGACATATGGTTTTGATTTAAACGTCTGCAAAATTTGCATTCTGTCAAAATCCATCCATCCATCCATCCATTTTCTTCCGCCTATCCGGGGTCGGGTCGCGGGGGCAGCAGCTTCAGAAGGG